TTGTATGTAGCTTTCGTTTGGGGACTGGGATCAGTGGATATATATTTCCAATGAAAGGGAATCAAACCACTGGCTCTCCAGGTAGGCAGGATATTCTTCTTTGTAAAGGTTTTGACTTGTGCATTATGAAGCGTCGGATAGAAGTATCCTTTGCCAAGTTTTGAATATGGTCCTTGAACTTACATCTTTCGCTCCACTTCTTCCTCCTAATATGTGCTTAGAGGTAAGAATAAACGGACATTGAGGGGCTGAAGTATATGGGTTGAGTGTGGACTCGGAGGAAGACAGATAAGATGGATTTCATGCTGGACAGCACATTCGATAAACTCAAAGTTCTCACAATAGGAACTATGCCTATCAAAGAATACAATTCAACTTGAATGTTGTTTGATTCCAGCAGATGGCCTGGTTCGTGGTTCGAAGATCTTTACCAGCCACTCCTAGGTGATTGTAAAATTAGTTTATCTACTAAATGAGTATGAAAAGAAGGTATCTTCTTTCCCTTCAAAGTCAATATCTCTATGGTATCCGATTAGATGTAACCAAGCAGGAAATATAATCAGGGGTGGTAATACTACTCCTGTACCAGAAATAGCTTCTATATCAGTTATCCAACTGCGATCACCATCATGGATAATCTTTGGATTTCTTCTAGACTTAAGACAGCTAGCCTGCCCTCCAAAGCTGAGTCAAGTGCAAATCCCATTTCATCTGTATTCCATATATTTTCTGCTTGGGCATGGAATTTACACTGGACATTGTAAAAGTGATCGAGATAGTATTTAAATAACTGGAGATCCATAGCAAGTATCCACTGCCTGTCCAGTACCTTTCCAACCTTGGATTGGATAGTTGGATGACATTGTAGAAATCTGTCTACTCAATTCTCTTCAGCCTTATCAGCCTTTCCCTCCTCTTTTAAAATTGCTCGAACCATTTGAAAAAGATAAGGATGGCGTAGAGGTAGGCCATAATCATCCCACTTCTCTATCCACTTAACTAGTGCATTCTTTTCCTCAGAACTAAGAAGTTGTTAGATTGTATGAACTTGGTTAGCTGGGGTCTTACATCTATGATAGCGGTTGTCAAGAGTTGTATTCTGAATGCTGTAAAGCTGACTAGCTTGATGAAAGTCCAGGAGTTGTGTCTCATGCTTTACACACGTCAGATATTTGCTTTTCCTGATCAGCTTTCTTATGAGGTATCTTTCAAGTTGATTGGAGTATTGGTCATGGTAGAGTAGATAAATATATAAAGATTTGGTTGTCACAGTATTTTCTTGAAAAAGTATGAAAAGTCAATACCCTAGCTCGCCTTATATACTACCCATTTTATTCCTATAACTTCTCATACTATAGTCTATATTCTACCAATAAAGCCTATATGAGTTGCAATAGAATAAAAATAAAAAAGCGACCATTGTTCTTGGAATTACTCATATTATCTGTTTCACATCATGCTGTGACTTGAAAGTTCAAAAAATACTATTTTACAATTTTTTTTATACAAATACAATCACTGTCTTCTGCACTTTCTATATTGATACAATGAGAAAGAAAGACGAAAAAACTATTGTGTCATTCACATTTCTATTGACTATGCTCTAAAAATGTTACAGACCCATTACTAGATGGTGACCCATAATGCCCTCAAATACGTTAATCACCAGGCAGATAACTATATAGGCCAAAATAAGAATAAAATAATGTAATAGTATCTGTCTTAGCTTGCAGCAGTATAGGATATACAGGAAATTGTCTTAAGCTTTCAAATAGAAGGTCATATATGAAATAGTATAAATAGAGGATTTGGAACTATAAAGCAAAAAGCAAATCAAAATAAGGTATGGACTCCAGAGATATAAGCTATACTTGTTAATACTATGGATAACATAGGTAATATCAAAACTGTTCGATTCTTTAATGATCCTGCTGGTACAAGATTTCAAGATTTAGAAATCATCTTAAACTCATACTAGTATATAAAAGTATTAACAGCAATTCCAAGTTATAACTTTTTTCACTTTACTGCTCTAACTCCAGGTATTGTAGAAGTCAAAAAATTGCTACAGGATCAGTGGACAATAATTGATCTAAGGAAAAGAGATTTTCTTCTTGCTAATTTCTTAGATATTAAACCATATAGACTTATGGATACTGGCTTGAACCCTGAGAAGCAGTATAATCTCTGGAGTAAGTAGTATTCCTCTTCTGTTTCTTCCTAATATCAAAATTCTTACGGGGTATTCGGCCCACTAAATCTGATTTGAAATTGTGATTTCAGATCAGAACTTGGCAACTTTAACTTAGATTATTTATACTATTAATCTAGGAACTATATATAATCAGAAGTAATAATCTAAGTTAATATTTCCAAGATCTGATCTGAAATCACAATTTCAAATCAGATTTGGTAGGCCAAACTCCTCCTTAGTATTACTCTAAGCCTGCTAAAGTACTAGTTTCCGCTGTTTGTAAGAAGAAAAATACAAGAGTGGTAACTGCAAACGCTGCAAAACAAGGACTAACTAAAAATCTAGATTAAGGAAAAAGTATCAAGATATGGTTCCGGAAGACTAGAGGTGGGACCAGTTTTCACACAAAATGTGTGAAAATTGGTCCTACCTCTAGTCTTCCGGAACCATACAAGAATTACTAATTATAC